TTCAGTGGTCTGTCCGTCGCTGGTGCCCTCGAATACGTCGTTCTGTTCACCAGACAGCGTGAACTCGTAGCAGTTAAGAGTCTCACCGGGGGCTGTAATGTAACGGAATTCACCATAAATTCCACACCATTTCCATGGGGTAAGGAAACAAATCCTCCCTTAAGAGCATCGAAAAATGTAAAACAGACATTAAAACTACAACGAATATGACCATATTTATGGTAGATTTCCTCCTTTAGACCTAGCAATAGATCTAATGATTCACATAAAGTCAGCCGAGTCGATGGCTCAGATTATGAGGAAACATTACAAGTATAAGAATAAAAAGGAGTTTAAATTATAAATACCAATGCAATTTAAGCAAAACTAGTGATTTTCTAACAACATTCGATAAGAAATTACTAAACATTAATGAAAAAACTATAATAGCTTAGTGAAGTTTCAAGTATACTTACAGCCGTCTTCCTGAGAGCCATAGCCGCAGAGCGTGCCTGTCTCCGGCAGCTCGTCACTGGCAGCCGCCAGCTCCACGGAGCTAATTGTTGCTGAAAATTATACATCCAAATTAATATACAAAAAATAAACTCAAAAATTACTGGACGGATTTCAATATTTTACTATTAGAAAGCTACATAATCTCTGAGAAATTTATTTACTAAACTGCAATCCAAAGATATCCTAATACTTGTAATTTCGCATGGATGTTTAAATACTCACGTGTGAACTCGACGACGCGGTTGATCGCGATCAGACCAACCCTGTTGTTGAAACGGGAGGAAGAGGTCTCTGTCACCAGCTCGGGGTTGACCACGTTAGCGGCGCCATACCGGATCCAAGCGAAGCGAAGACTAAACAACAATGATGAATCAAATATCACACGTTAATGATTAACATAGTTTGTAGATTAAATTAGATAATTGAATAAACTCTACCGAAATTTGAATTGTCTATGGACAATAATAGCATCACTATTTCGGCAAAATCTGGAAATACGTATTCCAACCATAGATAATAAATGTTTCCCCGTTCATGCAATCATTGACAATGTACTTGTACATGTCGGGGAAATACACGATGTCCGGTTTACAGAAAAATCGCCCTCTTCTTTACAATGTGCCAAACTCGTGAGAGAGAACAAAGTGAGTTGCATCGTCGGAATAATATAAAGCAATTAGCCGTGTCTGACACACGTTACTTTTGTACAGACAAATAAAAAACGTCCTAATTTCTGTGTGGTCGTCTCAATTTGTACAAAACTCTCTAACGATTGCTTATAAGATAACACCGCCAGATACCCCGATTGTACATATCCCGTGTTAAAGTGCTTTACACTTACTTCTGTACGCAGCTGCCGGAGGTGAGCACCCAGCGTTCATTGATGAGGGAACCGACGCAGCTATTGAGCAGACCAGCGCCGAAGGTGGTCGCAATGCGGAGGTGGACTACCCATGGGTTCTCCGCCGTTGAGACAGCGGTAATGGGAGCTGGAAGTTTTGAAGTAAAAATGTATTTGCCATTTGGTCTGAAAATGTCTCTGTCGAAATTATAGGCTCGACCAAAGTATATCGATTTTTTAATACAAAAAAAATAAGGGGTTATTGTTACTTTAAAAACTGATAAACCAGTTTATTTATTAATTATACTTTAATAGGGACCTACTAGGAAATACTTATTTATAAAAAAATAATAGATTTTTTTTTATTAAAGAAATAAGAAAACAATAGTTAGCACCATAAATTAAATCAGGAAAACTAAAGTTAGTCATAAATTTAAGGTAAGTTGGAACGGATGAATCTAAGTAAATAAGTGCTTATTACACTTACCGTCCAAGCCGGTGCTGCGGCCCTGGAAAATTGAACATAAACACTTTCATTTAACTTTGTACTTTTACTTAGAACTGTAATTAATTTATGTAATACATTTTATTAGTTAAATTTCGTTATTTTATTTAAACTTTATTCGGCTTTTGTTGTATATCCATCATGAAAATTTAATCCTTATTAGTTTTTTAATTATAAATCTGACTAATATTATAAATGTGAAAGTTTAGATGGATGGATGTTTGTAGCCTTAACTGCTGAACGGTTTTTGATTAAACTTGGCATAGATGTATAGGATAGTATAGAACAACACATAGGCTACTTACTTTTGTTTTTTTAATACCACTCGGACGTAGTCGCTGGCGTAAGCTAGTACAACATATTTGCCTGCGTCTTATTTTGCGCTAGTTATCTTGTTTTTTTTTATGTTATAAGGTGGTAAACGAGCACCCGGCCACCTAAATCCGCCAAAATGGCGAAGCGACTGCTGCCCATAGACATCCGCGATCGCAGATGCGTTGCCTACCCTTATCCGACAGAGGAGATACACATAAAGAGGACATTGCCCCTTCGTATGCATCTCCACCGTCAAATCCACTTCCCCTTCCCATCCTCTCCGTATAAGAAAAGGATGGTGAAGACAAAGGGACTAAAATTAGGCCTCCGGC